AATAAAGTATCAAGGAATCAAGAAGCTGGGAGATGGATGGGTCAGTTGGTAAAGTGCTTGCTTGCCACACAGGTAGAAGGACCTGAGTTCAATTGAAACATAGAAAATTTGGATTCTAACACTGTGGAGGATCCTGGGGCTCACTAGTAGCCTACCCAGATCTCTATCTCAAAAACAAGGGAGATCCCTCCTGAGGTACAAAACTCAAGGTTGACCTATATATGGCCTTTGCATGCATGTGAGTAATACATGCATGCATGCTAGCACAAACATAAAGATGCAAACACATAAATATGTGCACATACACACACAAAGTAGAATAGAAAGCATTCTGAAATAGATGTAAGTGAAAACATGGTCTGTATGTCAAAGTCTTTTAGATGACACTAAAGCAGTTATATGGGGATGGACGTATTACTAAATTCCTACATTAGAAGGATAACATGATCCCTTAGTTCCCACCTTAAGAAAACAGAGGCTGGGTAAAGTGGCTCACGTCTTTAAGCCCAGCACTCAAGAGGCAGAGGCAGAGGCAGAAGAACTTCTGAGTTCCAGGCCAGGCTGGTCTACAGAGTAAGTTCTAGGACAGCCAAGGCTACATAGAGAGATCCTGTTTCAAACAAATGACAACAGCAAAAAGAGAAAGAGCAAATTAAATCCAAAGTCAGAGAAAAGAAGCAATTAAGATCAGAACAGAAATTAGTAAGACAGAAAACATGAAACAACATAGGAAAAGTGAAAACTACCCCAAGTACAAATCTCTAGTCAACTAGTCAGGAAAAAGAAGACACAAATCACCACGTGGGGACCAGAAAGGTTAGCACCACATTCTAACACTCAGAGCCATGAACACAGAGAAACAATTTCCTGATTAAAATGACAACTGCAATGACAAATTCCATAAAAGACAAATTAGCAAAACTCACTCAAGAGAATAAGGGAGAACTGGAGTGGTCAGGGACCCACTCACACAACTGCATCTGAAGTGGTCAGGGTGGTCAGGGACCCACTCCCATAATTTCGTCTGAAGAGTTTACCAGCCTTCCTACAGCACTGATGAGTGCTTTTCAATATCTAAAGGAACAATACTAATTCTCCTAGAAGTCTGCAAAAGGAATATCTGTAACTTCTTATATAGGTCCCTGACCACCCAGTCTTCAGATGCAGTTGTGTGAGTGGGTCCCAGAATTCATACTGTGCAGCTTACAACTATGATGGTATTTTATTTGTACTGAAATGTGATTTTAATTGTATGTTAATAAATAAAGTTGCCCAGGGGTCAGAGCTATTAGAGCCATAGCAAAAGCTGGGCATTGGTGGTGCACGCCTTTAATCACAGCACTTGGTAGGCAGAGCTAGGTAGATCTCTGTGTGTTCAAGGATACAGCCAGCATTGGAGACACACGCCTTTAATCTCAATACTATAGAAGACCTGGAGGGCTGTACAACAGACAGTGACTAGGCAGTCATGTGGTTGGTTTTACAACCAATGAGAAGGCAGAACAGAAAGTCTATATAAAGACAAACAGACAGGAAGTAGCTCTCTTTCGGAGAGGTCTCTTGGCTTAAGAGGCTAGCTGCAGCAGGTGGGTAAGGCTCTTAGCTCTGATCTCTTGGCTTTCTTCTTTGCATAGGTTCTGTGTTTCTTATTAAGATGGTTGGTTACATCTACATACAACCACCTATAACTCCAGCTCCAGAGGATCCCACACCTTCTGGCCTCCACCAGCACACACCCACACCCACCCACACACATATACAATTAAAAAATAAATCTTTTAAGAAAACTAGCATTATTCTGATACTCAAACTAGAAAAAAAAAAACATTTCCAGAAAATGGTATTTTTAATACTTCAGGAACACAGGTACAAAAATTTCAAATAAAAACTTGGTAAATCAAATCTAACAGTATTTGAAAAGAACAGTATTTCATGACTAAGTGACAACGCTGGCTTCACTTATAAAACCTAATAGCAAGCTTAGAAAGAAAAACAAAACTGCATTTGAAAAAATGCAACAGACATTCTTAAAGACACAAAGCAAAACAAACCTGTCAGCAAACTGAACTAGAAGAAAGGTGTGTCCTCAATCTGACTGAGAACATCTGTGAGAAATCCACAGCTAACACAAGGCTCACCAGTCAAAGAATGAGTACATTTCACCTAAGATCAGAAGACAACAGTGTCCACTTTCTCCAACTGTGCTCAACATTGCATAGAGTTTCTGGCCAGGGTATCAGGCAACAAAATGAAATTAAAGACAAAAGATTGGAAAGAAAAGTAAAAACTGTCTTTACTAGCAGAAAATATAATTATGCATGTAGAAAAATCCTAGAGAATTTTTTTTAAAAGTATAAGGGTCTGAATTTGATCTCCACCCCCAGCCCTAAGGACAAACACTAAAAATCAACTAGAATTACTAAGTTTAGCAAGGTTGCATCCTGCAATATATAAATATACATAATATATAAAACATATAAATATATAAATCAACTGCAAGTCATGAGACAGCACTTTGTGCCATTAGGCCAATGCTACCAAAATGACAGTAACAGATGCTGGCAAAGACATGGAGAACCTGGAATGCTCATATTGCTGGTAGAACATGAAACGGTGATGTCACTGTGAAATACCATTTGGCAGTTCTTCAAAAGGTCAAAGAAAGTTACCCCATGACTCAGCAACTCTACTCCTAGGTGTGTTATGTTCAGAAAAGTTAAAAACTTGTACAAGAATATGCATAACAACATTATTCCTAACAGCTAGAAAGTAGAAACAAACCAAATGTTCAACTGGTGAAATATACAAACAAAATGCATCTGTACAGTGGAATATTATTTGGTATGAAATGAATGAATACTGATACATTCTATGATAAGAATTAACCTAGGGGCTGGAGAGATGGTTCAGCGGCTAAGAGCACTGGCTGCTCTTCCAGAGGTCCTGAGTTCAATTCCCAGCAACCACATGGTCGCTCACAACCATCTGTAATGAGATCTGGCGCCCTCTCCTGGCCTGCAGGGATACATGCAGACAGGAAATTGTATACATAATAAATAAATAAATCTTTAAAGAAAAAAAGAATTAACCCAGAAAACACTGTGCTAATGAAAGAAGTCAGATAAAAGACTGCTTGGTATGTGAGTCCCTTTCCATGAAATGCCAGGGCAGGACTCCAACAGAGCAGTGGTGCTGAGGGGACTCAAGTGGCTGAAACTGAGATGCAGACTCCTTCCTGGGCTGATGGAACACAGTCTAAGAACACTGTGATCCACTGAAAGCCCATGAATCCTATACTGTAAAATGATGAGTGGATTTATGTCACTTGAATTTTATCTTAATAAGAAAAAAATGCTTAAAAATCAAATGCTTTTCTGTATATATACAGATATATATGTATCCATACATATATATACACACACATATATATGTGTATTTTGTTGCTGTTGTGTTTTGGGTTTTTGTTTGTTTGTTTTTTCTGAGACAGGGTTTCTTTTCCTAGTTTTGGAGTCTATCCTGGAACTCACTCTGTAGAGCAGGCTGGCCTCAAACTCAGAGATCCGCCAGCCTCTGCCTCCTGAGTGCTGGGATTAAAGGCACACGCCACCACCATCAAACAATGCTGGAGTAACTGGGTATCTATATATGTATCTGTATGATTGCTTACCAATTGACCATCAGATTTCTAGGCATCTATCAAAGACAAACTTTACATCTTTACAAAAACATATAGCAGCATTATCCATCTTAGCAAAAAGACTGGTAAATGGACAGAGTGTGTTATAGACATACAATGAAACGAAATTCAGAGAGGCAGAGGCTGGAGAATCAGGAAGGAGTTCAAGGCTAGCCTCAACTATTAACAAATTCAAGGTCAACCTGGGCTATATGAGACCCTGTCTCAATAAAATAAAAAAAAAAAAAAACACAATTCAGTAATTTAAAAAAAAAAAATCACAGCTGGGTGGTGGTGGCACAAGCCTTTAATCCTAGCCAGCCAGATCTCTGTAACGCCAGCCTGGCCTACAAAGTAAGATCCAGGCAGGCAGCAAAACTACACAGAGAAACCCTGTCTTGGGGGAGGGACGGGGACACCAGACATAAAATAGGTAGCATCTGGAGAGATGGCTTGGCTCAGAGGTTAAAAGCCCTTGCTGCTCTTCCAGAGGACCTAAGTGTAATTCCTAGAACCCACATGGTAGTTCATACATCTGATGCCCTCTTATGGCCTCTGAGGGCACAAGGCATGCATGCACATGGCATACATACATACAAGCAAATACTCACTCATACACATAAAATAAAAAATAAATCTGTTTTCTCATTAAGTCACAAAGTCCTGATAATATGCAAAGACAGGTAAACTTCAAAAACATTACACAAAGAGAAAGGAAAGAGCATTTAAAAAGAAAGCATTTTAGCTGGGTGGTGGTGGGGCACGGCTTTAATCCCAGCGTTCGGGAGGAAGAGGCAGGCAGACTTCTGAGTTCGAGGCCAGCCTGAGCGCTGATACACAGAGGAAGCCCCTCTGGACCAGGCTGTCTTCTCAGCACCCACCCACACAGTGCTGACACAGTGGTCACAACCATCTTTAACTCCAGTCCCAGGACTGACTGCCCTCTTCTGACCTCCATGAGCACTGCACACACAACACACAGTGCAAGCACAAACATACATGTAGGCAAAATACTCACACACATTAAATAAAAATAAATGTTTAAAGATAAAAAGATGGCATTTTATGATATCATTTAAATGAAATTTCAAAGACAGAAGATCAAAAGATGCAGGGGGGTGGTTGCAGGGTGGAAAGGAATGCTTGAGGATGACATTAGGGTTCTAAAACAGGACTGTGGTGAGGCCTCACAGCTGTATATGTTAGCCATAACTTACCAAGCTGTAGTTGCAATAGGTAAACTACTTATCTTTCTGGGCATTGCTTTTACAATAATAAAGTTGTTCTGTTTTTGTTTTTTTAAGCAAGCTGCATATTCACTCACCATTGTAGCCTTCCAGAACGGAATCAATAATAGGTCTTGCAGTTAAGTTATATACATCAAGTTGTTTACTTTCTGGTCCAAAAACAGTATCAAAAGTAAATGTCTTTGGAGGTTCGTTGGAAGAATCGGTCTTATGGACGGTGATAGTTCCCCTCATCTCGTCCACGCTGACGGCCTGTCTATAGCACATTGATTTCTCTCTCTCATTGAGGGGCCGGCACCTAACAACCACCTTCACATTATCGCAGCTTTCTGGCTTCTCAGATTTATTGATCTGGTGAAGAAAACGTTTACAAAGAATGAAAAGAACATTCATTTTGCCCTAAATTTATAATTGAAATAGGCTACTTTTCCACCTCAGCACCCTGAATGTGCTAAGACCTCACAAGACTTTGTTAAATGCAATTAAAGATCTATACATAACAGAAAGGATGCAAAGAGGAAATTTCTTTTGCAATACAAAAGAGAGGAGAGAAAACTCTAGTTTACATCTGCAGTAAATGCTTCAGATGCAGAAAATGAACTAGCATGCATGACATTTGCTCAACAGCCCCCAACATCTTCTGAATTTCCTGCCTGCAAAAAAAGCACATATGAACATGGTTGGCAAGTTTTATCAAGAATGGAAGCGGTCAAGCTAGGTGCTATGGCACATACTTTTGATCCCAGTACTCCAAGAGGCACAGGCAGGAGGATCTCTGAGTTTGAGACCAGCCTATAAAATATAGTGAGACCCTGTCTCAAAACAAACCAACAAAGTATGATGTCCTTTGCTTTCCCATGGCCCTAGTTTCATTTTCTAGAATGCATTGCAAAAAATTTTTTTAGCATATGAAACACTCAAACATGACTTACCTTCTCTACAGAAAACAACAGTAATTTAAAAAGAGAAGGCCAATGACATACAGGGAAAAAATGTCTTATGAACAAACGCTTGTATAAAGTTTTGATTTTCAAAATTTTACATGACTAAGAAATTAAGTCAATGGTTGGGGATTTAGCTCAGTGGTAGAGTGCTTGCCTAGCAAGCACAAGGTCCTGGATTCGGTCCTCAGCTCCGGAAAAAAAAAAAGAAAGAAAGAAAGAAAGAGAGAGAGAGAGAGAGAGAAAGAGAGAGAAAGAGAGAGAGAAAGAGAAAGAAAGAAAGAAAGAAAGAAAGAAAGAAAGAAAGAAAGAAAGAAAGAAAGAAAGAAAGAAAGAAAGAAACTAAGTCGAAACAATCCTATTACTATCAATATGCTGCTCTCCAGCTCAACCTCGTCGCCCTAAGCTAAGTCACATGACCTGGGCCCTGCATTACAATCTCCTAACTGCGCTCCTGCATCTAATTGAACTGCCCTTCAATCTGTCCTTGTACAGGATGGTGTAAACACAAAACAAATCAGGATACTCTCCAATGTAAAACTTTCCCACAGATGACAAGCCCAAAATAAAAAATGTTAAGGTAGTAAGGAAAGGTCTCTAGGTTTCACAAAATCCTCTGCCTCCTCTCAGCCACAACACCCTGGGTTTCAGGACCTTTTCCTGGAGCCCTTCAGCCTAGAACATTCCTCCCGTCCTTCTTCACTTAGATAATATTTTTCCTTCAGTTTTCAGCTCCACAGACACTTCCTTTGGGAACACTTCTCTGACTAGGTCAAGTGCTTTTTTTTTTTTTTTTAACAGACTCTGAAAGCACATCCTGCTTTTCACGGATACAGTTTTACTCTTGTTTGATCCTTGATTGATGTCTGTCATTCTATCATCACCTGAGTTCCAAACAAGTAGTCAAGGGGCTGAATTCAGCCCATAAAATTCTTTTATTCGGCTCAAAGTATTTTTGTTTTATTCTGATACAGGGTCTCATGAAGCACAGGGTGGACTGGAATTCACTATGAAGTCAAGAATAGCCTTGAATTCTTTTTTTTGGGGGTGGTGGTGGTGGTGTTTTTTTGTTTTGTTTTGAGACGGGGGTTTCTCTGTGTAACAGCTCTGGCAATCCTGGAACTCACAGAGATCCGCCTGCCTCTGCCTTGTGAGTGCTGGGATTAAAGGCATGCAGCACCACCACCACCACCACCACCACCACCACCACCACCACCACCACCACCACCACCAGGCTGCAATTTAAGTCTTTTGAAAACAAAAGTAGATCTGTTACCAGTAGGCCAGCATTCCTTTATGGCAACAGTTTTCAATTCACCAGAGCCTATTTCTATCAAATGCCACTCACCCACTTCCTTCATCGAGACTCTTTTCTCTGTTAGTATGTATGGTTTTGACCTCTGCCTCAAAAGGCAAGCTTCTCTTTCTCCAAAGTCAAAAAACTCGGCAAATGGGACTGGAGAGATGGCTCCGTGGTCAAGAGCCCTTGCTATTCCTTGCAGAGGACCTGGGTTGGGTTTCCAACACCACACAGCAGCTCACCACTGCTTATACTCCAGTCCCGCATCCCACGACCTCTTCTGCCTTCCTCTGGCACGTGGTGCACATACATGCACGCAGGCAGACACTCATACATTTAACATAAAATTAGATTTAAAAAAACGCCTGGCAAGTTTTGCTCAACCAACCCTACCACCTACATGGTTAGCATATATGCGGCTGGTGCCCAGTATTTATTGAATGAATACCGTGAAAGTAATAAATAAAAACAAACAATGAGCATTCTGTGCTGAATGTCAAACCCTGTCCTTCAAGTGTCTGATGAAAACCACAAGAAGTTTGAGTGGGAAATAAGAGTCCAGACAATTTGAATAGCTGTCGGAAGCCTCGTAACCAATAAATAGGCTTCCATGGCTCCAGCCTTCTCCAATGAGACTTACAACCACCCCCTTCTTAAGGCACGATAACAATCCGTGAAATTTTAGAAGGTAACCAAATCGCCACCGCGTAGTCACACAAAGACACCTACGGGTTACATTTTGCACCATAAGCTGAGGCGCCCGAGAGGAATGACAGCTTACTCCCGAGGGAGTCGGGGACCGAGAGTGGACTCGGGGGTCGCGGGCATCCGCACGACCCTCGCGGCCGCGCGCAGCCACCA